CTGTTTAATCCCCAGCTTATTATCTTGCAGTAAAACAGGCCTCACACCAATGATGCTAGCATCAGTGCCAGTTTGAACGGGTTTTCATAATTAGGTTGACAGTTGTCAGCACAGCTTTCAATGTTTCAAAAGACACTTTGTCACTCTTGATTCCATTCAAATTTTCTGCTTTTATCAACGAGTTTGTTACAGGTGGAAAGACAGTGCTTAAGTTGTGACTAAATCTACTCATGACAACATAATACACGTTTCTTTCACGTTTCGTCTCAGAAATAGGAATATTGAAAAAACCCCATACCTCAACTCTCTACGTGTTACTTGGCTTTGTCTCACAGTATGGCTGAAATAAGTCACCTTTGCTTTGGCAAATTCATTTTTAGCCAGACTTATGACCAAATTTCCTTTATGTAGTTAACCCAACAGTTCAATCAAGTGGTATAAATGTTCTTCCCAGGTTTAGCGCTGATTAACCAAATCATCGAAGTAAACAACAGTTACATAGTCCTTCAATTACATTATCGGTAAATTGATGAACATGGCTGGTGCCGTTTTCATTCCAAATGGCATGACTGTGCACTCCTAAATTCCATCTGATGTTACAAAAGCTCATATTTCTTTTGCTGTGTAATCAGAACTTGCCAATATCCTTTGCATTTTGTGATAAACCATATATGTCCAATTCATTTAATACAGTCCTCCAGTCTCAGTAAAGGATATGAGTCCGCTTTCATTACCTTCTTGACATTGCAATAGTACAGATTGTTTGTGACCCATCCAATGAGGCACAATTATGGCAGGTGATCTCCAACTGCTATGACTACCACAATAATGTCATTGTCCATCATGAACTCAATCTGCTCCATCACTTGAGCTAATCTTTCTATATTGAGGCTGTATTGATGTTGTTTTATAGGTAACACATCCCTTACATTAACATCATGAACAGCTAAAACCATTATTCCTATTTCCACAAATTGATTTACATTTCCATAATAGACTTCATAAGTCAATTTGATAGTCTTCTGGAGGATAAAACATGACACTATCTAACATTTTACGCATTTGATTGTTGGAGGATCAACTTTTGAATTGTTAATTTGTGGTCCATTCACCAATTGTTGAAACTTCTATTTCACTCTATTTTTTTCACTGCTGTGCATTCACTTTCCTGTTATCGTTATCTTTTCAAATTTTTGACCTGGCATACTTGCTGATCCTCTTTCCAGTCTTGAATACTCGCTATATAATTCACATCATTGAGTTTCTTACTGATTTGATAAGGTCCAATGAACCTTGCTTTTAATGGTTCCCCAGAAACAGGTAACAACATTACCACCTGGTCTTCTGTAACATTCGAACTTTAGTCTTTTTACCTGCTCTAGTTTTCATTGATTGTTAAACATGGTTCAAATGCCTTTCAGCTAATTCATAATTTGGTCAGTTTTTTACATTTGAAGTTCAAATGTAGATTGGAATATTGTTTCTAAGCTTTGGTTTCTTTAATTAATCCTTGGTGTTCCTGTTATAACATTTAAATTCCTTTTATCTCCACTGGTTATTGTACCACCCTTGGTGAAGCAAATATTCATGAGCTAGTAGGTCATTCCACAAAACAAAATCAATTCCTTCAATGGGAATCTGTCTTACTACTCCCACTACAACTTCTCAATTTACGAAGTCACTCTTTAATCCAAGGCTGTGAAATGAAATATGTATACCTCAATTTAATATTTTCTCTGTCATTAAAGCCTTTTGAAGACAAATTCCATCATCAGCCAGTACCTACCAACTGACTTGTTCCAGTGTTTCTATGTATCTTTATTGGTTTACCTCCTTGATTTGAAGCATAAGGAAATACGTCCCTTTTTGAGATAAAATATTTAGAATCTCCAGTGGTCTGATTCTCCTTATCAATATTTGAAAAATAATTTTCATGATTGTCCTGAGCCATCCACTGCAGTGCCAGACATTACAGGACCCCACACCAAAAAGATATTAGAGGGAGTATTGACTGTGAGTATATCTACATGATACTGACTAGTAGTTCAAGAAGCCAGTCTACCATCACCTTTCCAATGGCATTTGAAGATCGGGAATAAATGCTGGCATCACAATGGTGCTCACATCTCTTGTCCAAATATCCTGGATTGACTTGTTTCTGTCTTTGTGGGCCTAGAATTTTTCTATGGTCCCTTCAATGGAAGCCTTTCAGGTGGCTTTGTCTCAAGGTATTTTCCGACTTGTCAGCTTTCCTCCTGTAATATCACCAGATGGGCGGTTTCCTCTTGATAGTGGAAAAGGTGCTGGGAACATTCTGCACGTACATAATGAGCACAGTCAAATAATGTGGATTAGGATTTGTCACTGGTAGAACTGTGCCTGAAAGAGTAGAATTTTCTACTTCACTCTTCCCAAACTACTACATACATGTTAATAATGGGAACTGTCTCAGAAATCTCACAATAGGGTCCACTGTCTTACTGGTATAAGGAATTAAAAATTGCCTCTACTGTCTACAAAATACAAGTACCCCAGTAGACAATTATTTGGTTTCAAATAGTTTCAATGGCTGTAGGGTCCCCAAGCGGAAAATGAGGTGTTGTTCCTCCATTTTAATGCACCACCCTGCTCCCTGGCCAACATCTCTGTCTCTGGCTTGCTACAGTGTTCCAGTGAAGCCCAACACAAGCTGGAGGAACAACACCTCATTTTCCGCTTGGGGACCCTACAGACCTCCGGACTCAATATTGAGTTCGATAATTTTAGGGCCTAAACTCTCCCATGTCCCAGTTCCCCACCCCACACACCAGGCTTTGTTACCACATAGCCTGCCATTACACACCCCCTTTTGTTCATCACTAACAGTCCCCATTAACAACTATTCACCCTCCCAGCCTGATCATTAGCAACTCCTTTGTCTGTCCAACCGTCTTTCTCTCTCTTCGGGCTCTATCCTATCGTTTACTCCCTACCCCACCCACCTCCCTATTTTCTGCATATAAACTGACATTTTCCTAGCCACTATCAATTCTGAGGAAGGGTCACCGGACCCGAAATGTTAACTCTGTTTTCTCCTTCACAGATGCTGCCAGACCTGCTGAGCTTTTCCAGCAACTTTGTTTTTGTTCAAGGTTTAGAGGGATGTGGGCCAAACACAGGATTAATATAGTTTGGAAAACCTGCTCTGCGCGGACAAGTTGGACTCTGTGCTGTACCATCCTATGACTCTATCAGTTGTCATTGTTACAGCAAGTGCCAAGAGTGAAAAGAAAGTAACAAAAATATTATCAGTTGTTATTCCAATTTGGTTCGATAAATGCTACACCTCACATGGTGGGAGATACTAACTAATTTCATTGTCTTACTGGTCATACGTCCCACATAACAGAAAAAAAACCTGATTATGCATTTTCCCTCATCTTAAAGTAGTAGTATGCCAAACCTATGTCATAACAGCTGGTACCTTTTCCATTTAAATTTGCTGCACGAATGATTCACATTGTCCAGTTACTTTATATGTATTTGTAAAATATCAGTTATAGTCAATTTTCCAGGCTTCGCTTTCAGTAGTCAGGAATTGGAACTTGTTGCGTTTAACTGCTAATTGACCTTATACATTAAAGACCAGTTGGAAAGTAGTTAATACATCACCCTAAGATCTGTTATACATCAATAGCTGTTCCTGTTGGGGCAACAAAAAGATTTCTTTTTCACAAAATATTTTGAATGAGTCAATTGAATCACCTCTTCTTGGTAGCTTCCCTTGTAGGTATTGAGAATTATTTGCTTTCAAATTCCCTAGAGTCTTCTCACTGTGAACTTTCAAGAAGATTTTTCACAAAGTGATACTTACATTCAATGAACTCATGATGCTGCTTGGCCTGCTGTGTTCATCCAGCCCTGCACCTTGTTGTCTCACCCTAGAATGGTTCAGAATACACATACTGACAGTTTATAGTTCAACAGGTTTATTTGAATAAAACAGGGATTATCAAGGAGTATCAACTACATTACGTTGTACCGCTTATAACTTTCGGAAGTTTAGTTTTGCTACTTCATCAAAATATTGCCCCTTCCGAAGATATCGTTTCTTTTTGCCTCTTCCTTTTCCACTCACTCAATGACTTAGAAGAACCCCTAAAGCACCACTCAAAAATAGATGGAACAGGACAAGTGAATGCAATTTAACTGCCGAAAAGCACAATTAAGACTAATATTTACAATCCTTCTTTACAAAGTGAGATTCATATTAGAAACTGAGTGGATGGGATGTTGGAGGTAAAGGTTGTTGGACCATTTAAGTTAACAAGGTGTGGAGCTGGATGAACACAGCAGGCCAAGCAGCATCAGACGAGCAGGAAAGCTGACGTTTCGGGTCTAAACCCTTCTTCAGGAATGGGGAGGGGAAGGGGGTTCTGAAATAAATAGAGAGGGGGGAGGCAGATAGAAGATGGATAAAGGAGAAGATAGGTGGAGAGGAGACAGGCAGGTCAGAGGTGGGGGTGGAGCCAGTAAAGGTAAGTGTAGGTGGGGAGTTGGGGGGGGATAGGTCAGTCCAGGGAGGATGGACAGGTCAAGGGGGCGGAATGAGGCTAGTAGGTGGGGGTGGGAGGATTTGATAGGTGGGAGGACAGGTTAGGGAGGCGGGGACAAGCTGGGGAGCGGGGGGAGGGGAGATTTTGAAGCTTGTGAAGTCCACATTGACGCCAAAAACAAAGTTGTTGAAAAAGTTCAGCAGGTCTGGCAGCATCTGTGGAGGAGAAAACAGAGTTAACGTTTCGGGTCCGGTGACCCTTCCTCAGAACAAATAGAATTTATATTGGGGCGACACTGTTTGATCATTTTAAATTGCCTCAGGCGCATCAGTCTCTCCAGATACTGACTGACCTGCGATTCATTCTCCATTCACAGTATTCTTTTCTAACTGTTTCCGGGAGGCGTGGTTTTGGCCAAAGAAAAAGGAAAATAAAATGAAACCGTTACTGCGCAGGCGTATTTGGCTGGAACAGTCGGGAAACTGTTACCGCACAAACGCAGTTGCCTGACCGATATCTACAAACGGAACCGTTTCTGCGCAGGCGTAGTTGGCTGGGATACACACAAACCTACCAAGGTCCATGTCCCAAAGATTCTCATTGCGCAGGCGTTCTTGCCTCCACAAAGGAAAGCGCAGTCAGGAGGACGTCGGGCCGTTGCTGAGCAGGCGCATTTCTGCTCACGCTCAGTTCCCTATTAAAGCCGCGAGGTTTTCTGTTGGTCTCCCTCTTTACGTCATCAACCAAGATGGTAGGTAGTGTGGAAGTTGGTTGTCTGCCTTTAAAGCAATTAGAATCCAATGGCATCGGGCATTAGGAGTGATCTTAAAAATGGATGCCTGTTCACTAATCGTTGTTGTCCCTTTTGCTAAGCATGTATGCAGCACTTTCGCTGAGATATTTGCATTTATTTAGATGAAAGCTCTGTCTGCGGCCTATTTAGTAAAGGCTGAGCGCCGAATGCTGCCGGTAGTGATGGCTGCTCCGTTGTAGATTTAATCAGTGGGTCCCTCTCTAAATTATTGACTGAACCGTAGCTGTTGCTCATCCCACACATTTCGATTCGAGTTTGGCGCTACCCAAGACGAATAGGTTTTTGCAACTTGCCTACTATGACCTACGATTCGACAGAAAACAGTTCCTTTTATGTTTGTGAAAAATCAGCATTTTATCATCTGGATGCCGCTTCCGTGGCTGGTACAGTTTCTGAGGTTAATGACTATTTTACAAAGGTATCGGAGTGCTGTACATAATTGGCGGTAAGAAATTGTACGTGTTCAGGCCGTGTTTCAAGTGTTGTATGCAGCCACTTAATCCAAAACTCTTTACTTGATGGCCAAAACTATCTTAATAATAAACTGAGAATGATGGCGTTATCTACGGATTAATCAGAAGTTTTAGCGTTGTCCCGTAACAGTTTGAGGGGCATCTTGAGGTACGCTCCAATCCTAAACAGGGTCCTCATAGGCGTCACTTTTCCAGAAAAAAGGTGACCACAAACGTAGTGGGTGGCCTCGGCTGAATTGTTTTGAAGTGTGTGGAGGATAAATTTTATTGAAATTTATATCTGGATAACAGACTCTGATCCTTCCTCTTTCTTGTAAAGAGTTGGTATGAGCTTGGGTTTTGTTTTGTGGTGTAATGGAGGTATGCTGAATTCTGGTTCTATTGTTAGTGTAGAGCTAAAAGTAGCCAGAACAAGTTGCGATACCATAATTTAAGCAGTGTCTAAGCAAACTAACATAAAATGGTGTAATGTATGTACCAAATATTGGTAATTTGGGTTTCTTGTGCAGCTATAGTTAATCTTGGATATGGTACAGTTTAATGTCCTGCAGCTGATTGATCAAAAGCTGAGTAATATGAATACACATGGATGACTAGTTTAAGAGTGGGTTGTTGTACTATGAAGTTGCTGTCCCAGAGAACTAAGACTTTAAGTGACTTATAGACTTTAGGCTTCTTTTATTACATAGGCTTTGTAAATGTTAAGTATAATGCATTTACTGTCAAGAATTTAAATGTTTCTTTAATGGCAGTGTACTCTTACCTATAAACATGATAAAACATTGAGTTTTCCATTACATAGTTGTAGACTGATAAAGCTAACATACATGGATTTTAATTTTATTTTAGCCGTCCAGATTGAGAAAAACCAGGAAGCTAAGGGGACATGTTAGCCATGGTCATGGCCGAATTGGTGAGTAGTAAATAAAAGCCCAAGTCTGTCTTTTTAATGAAGGTGTTCAAATACCTGGTTACAATTTTTTTTGTTTCCATGTTATAGGCAAACATAGGAAGCATCCTGGTGGTCGTGGCAATGCTGGTGGCATGCACCATCACAGAATCAACTTTGATAAATAGTATGTATTCAAAAATTATCTTGATCCATATGTTTGTGATCTTGCACAAAATGTGGATTCTGATGTGAAGTCTTGATACCAAAGTGCCCTTTTTAAAGCTCGCAGTAGGTTGTTGGTGGAAAAAACAAGTTAAACTTGAACAAAGATAACAAGGTGTAGAGCTAGATGAACACAGCAGGCCAAGCAGCATCATAGGAGCAGGAAGGCTGACGTTTCGGGCCTAAACCCTTCATCAGATTTTCTGATGAAGGGTCTCGGCCCGAAACGTTAGCCTTCCTGCTCCTATGATGCTGCTT